GAGAGACCGGTGACGTTAGTGTTAAAATCTCCGTTTCCGGGTAAGTTTCCGCTGCGGAAACGGCACGAAACGCTCATGAACGTTGTTCCATTGTATCAGGTTTGCCGGCGTCTGGTTCACCGTGCGATGTTTGAGGGAGGAAGAGATTGCCCACCCTCGGGTGAGAAGGAGAGGTTGCCGAGGGTGGATAGGGAGGCTTACAGCCGGCCAACAAAGGCCGTCGATCGTCGACGTCGGCTCATCCTCTCGGCGATCGACGTGAATGCCCGCGAAATTTATTGTTTCACCGGCTTAGCCCACTCTTCTATGCCCCTTGCCTCGCTTTTCGTTCCGCCTTCTCCTCTCCCTTCGAACTCTCCAGCGTGCTCTTTCTCGCTCTCCACAGTCTCTGTCCGCAGCCGGTGTTGCCGGGCACACATCGCGTCGTCAGACAAAAGAATAAATCCTGATTAATCTCTCAGTCGCGTTTCGAAAGCTACCACGCCGACGATACCGCGTACATATAATGCGTTGCTCGGCCCTGCAATGCCAGGAGTCCTCGTCCTGATACACATCGTGTGCACCTACGCTTTTCCTCTGTCCTGCTCTATCGTCCACCGACGACGCCGTTTTCCGACATTTTCTATACCGCACCAGAATACTTCGCTACCGCTCATCTTAGTTAAACCTATGAAATGGATCGCGAACTGTTGCAAGTATTACGTGTTTATATTTATGACTTTTCACCGTTGATCGTTTCGCCAACGATAAGTCATTGCGCTGCAGCACGCTGCTCGATCCTTCGGCTTGCATCGATTTTATACATTCAATCGAATTGAATTTATGCATATGTATGTACGTATTTAAATGCGATAGATGCAAAACTCTGTTGAAAATCTAATATTTCTTCGTTCGCATCGATCGCAAAAGTTAAGGCAAACTCGACCACAATTTTCGAGGTGGAAATATTGTCGGGAAGGGCACGCGCGTTTGTGTCTCACTCACCCTTGTGCATGCCAGTGTACTTGTCCTTGAGTACAGTGAACTCGTAAATTTTGCCAAATTCCTCGAACATCGGCCGTAAGGCGTCCTCTTCGAGATGGCGCGGTATTTGCCCGACAAAGAGTTTGATGGCGCCATCTCCGTTGCTGGAGGATGGCGGGGACGAGACCGGTATCAACATTTCTATCTTCCGCGATGAGCTCGCGTCCAAGCTGCTCGTGTCAAAACTCGGGGGCAGCCGATGTCGACGACCTTGGACCACCGTCCCGCGTACCACGTCGGTCACGATCGATCGTCCAGAGTCTAGCACGTGTTTTTGGAGCAAAAGGGTTTCGCGATTACTTATCGCGTCGCGCATAAACCACGACCACGAGCAAAGTCAGTTGGCAATTGACACGTGAAGGAGGGGACCGGCAGCGTCACGAAGGTGCTCGTTAACTACCGGTCACTGAGGGTAACCGACCGGTCGAGAGGGATCTAGGGATGAGGCGGCGAGAGCGTGAAACAGAGGCGTTATTTGCCGAAAGCAGAGTCTCGACGAATAGCAAGGCAATGGCGGAAGACTAGCAGGACGAATAAGAGGAGAACGTGCAGGAGGAAGAGAAGGAGGAGGAGGAGGAGGAGGAGGAGAAGGAGGAGATGGTGGTGGAAGAGGAGCAAGAGGTCCGGTTTTAATCAGGAGCTCGATAAAAAATACACGATAGCGTAATCTTCGTTGGAACGGAAAACAGAGTGACGTGGGAAGGGTAGCAGGACAGAAGGGAAAGAAGGAGTAAGATAGGAAGACCGTGGTGAGGGTGGAAAGCGGCTAATGCGGCTCGTGCACGGGAAAGCGAATACTTAACGAGAAAGAGGGTAAAATAAAGGAAGCCAGTGGAAGAGGGAGTCAACGATGCCGCTCGCACGCAACGATTAATGGCTTTCGAAACACATTAAGAGAGGCCTTTGAAAAAATATCTCCTATCCGGGCGAATTAAGTGCGTACTGTCGCGTGTGACTGTGACACTGTATATCGTTGATACACATGCGTTTAACTAATCAGCAGATAACGATGTCCGTGCGCATTCACGTCGATTACACGTTTACAATACTACCTATTACAGAAGTAGCGGCCAATATGGTATTTATCGATTCGCACAGGCTCGATCGATAAATGCGGTGAACGATGTCTCTGGCCGCGTTCACAAACACCAGTTGCTCGGATAGTCCGCAAATAATCTGAATAGAGAACGTCCGATATGAACGAAAGATTCGACGGATTTGCTAATGATAAACGTTTTAAGTAGAGAGAAAGATATGACTTGAATACCTAGTTAAGCGATACACACTTGCAAACAGGACACAGCGCGCAACATAAACAGCTAAGAGACAACAAACTTAAACGACGATCACGATACTGCACTTTCACCAGACGATTATCACACTAGAGTCGGCATAGTAATTACTAATTAATCGATTATCTGCTAATAGCACTTAATGCATTCGTACTGTACGATTTAAGTATGCTCGATTTATTCCCTTGATCTAGCGTTACACTTGCAACCTCGATCTTCCTCCTTCCGAATTTTTCTGACTCGACTGATAAGTTTCTCGATTCGAAACTTTGGCACACGGTACTTTCAATGGAGATCCTTCTAAGAAAAACGTCGTCGGGCAGATTATTTTGTTCTTTCAAATAGAGATATCTTAAGCTAAACGATCACAAGCACAGCACGTTCACGATCACGAGAGAACAGAACTACGACACAGCGCACGAGACACTAAACAACACTGGTGGTTGAACGACCCTCAGCTTGATCCACACCACGCGCCCTGACGCCATCGTCCACCGGGAAATGACACGCACCCTTCCCCTCCTACGAGCCACCCCAACGACGTCACCCCGTCTCAATATACGAAGGGTGCACTCCCCTATCGAGTCTTTGCCGGGCACGAGGGCGTCTTTGCGCCCTCTTATTAGCCTGTCCAACTTGCCAGCAGCCTCTGCACCGACCGTTTCCATGGATCAGCCTTAACCTCTGCTGCCCTATTCACCCGAATTCACGAAACAACATTACGGTCTGTATATCGTGCTTCATATTGCTATCCTAAACCATCTCTGTTCGAAGTAGTTTAAGTTTTTAAATTAAACGCGCCTTCCTATATGGAATACAATAGCGTATCGCGTACCACCACGCGGTATTCCTATGGCTGAAAGTTTCCCCTGCACAACGCGATTACAAAAAGATTATTAAAAAAAAAAA